ACTTGGAGGACATTATGTTAAGTGAAATAAGCCAGGCACAGAAAGACAAATACTGTTTGATCTCACTTATATGTGGAATCTAATAAAGTTGAATTCACAGAAGTATAAAGTAGAACAGTGGTTACTAGGGGTTGTGGGGGAGGTTGAGGAGATGCTGGCAAAGAACACAAAGTCAGTTAGATGGAGGAGTAAGTTCAAGAGATCTATTATACAGCATGGTGACTCTAGTTAATAACAACGTATGTTGTATTCTTGAAAACTAAGAAAGTAGATTTTAAAAGTTCTCACCATAAAAGAAATGATAAGTATATGAGGTAATGCATATGTTAATTAGCTTGATTTGGCCATTTCAAGAGTGTCTACAGGCTGGGTGCGGTGGCTCACGCCTGTAATCCTAGCACTCTGGGAGGCCGAGGCGGGCGGATCGCTCAAGGTCAGAAGTTCAAAACCAGCCTGAGCAAGACCTCGTCTCTACTAAAAATAGAAAGAAATTAATTGACCAACTAAAAATATATATACAAAAAAAAAAGATTGTCTACACATTTCAAAATGGCATGTACCTGATAAATACACATAATTTTTGTCAATTAAATTACTAATAAATAAATAAATATTTTAAAAAATAAAAAAGTTGAACTCACAAAAGCAGAAAGAACAGTGGTTACCAGAAGTGTAGGGAGGAAGAGAATAGGGAGATTTGGATCAAAGGGTATGAACATTTGGTTAGACAGGAGGAATAAGTTCGGGCGATCTATTCTACAGCATGTTAATTACAGTTACTAATGTAATGTATACTTGAAAATTGCTAGGAGAGTAGATCTTAAATGTTCTCACCATAAACTGTGATAAGCATGTGAGATGAGGAATATGTCAATTACCCTGACTTAATCATTGTACAATGTACATGTGTATCAAACATTATACTTATACTGTATAAATGTATATAATAATGTATACAGTATAAATGCATACAATTTTTCATTTGTCAATTAAAACTTAATAGAGGCCGGGCGCTGTGGCTCACGCCTGTAATCCTAGCTCTTGGGAGGCCGAGGCGGGGATTGGCTCAAGGTCAGGAGTTCAATACCAGCCTGGCAAGAGCGAGACCCGTCTCTACTATAAATAGAAAGAAATTAATTGGCCAACTGATATATATATAAAAAATTAGCCGGCATGGTGGCGCATGCCTGAGTCCCAGCTACTCGGAGGCTGAGGCAGGAGGATCGCTTGAGCCCAGGAGTTTTAGGTTGCTGTGGCTAGGCTGACGCCACGCACTCACTCTAGCCTGGACAACAAAGTGAGACTCTGTCTCAAAAAAAAAAAAAAAACTTAATAGAGCTTAAAACAAATACACACACATATACATACACACACTATGGCACCAGTTTTTGAAAAAAAAATGTACACAAAGAACACTTAAAACTCATCAGTAAAAAACAAACAGCCCAATTAAACAATGGGCCAAAGACCTTGTCAGACAGCTCACTGAAGAAGATACACAGATGGCACATACGCACGTGGATAGGTGCTCCACACCCTGTGTCATGAGGGCAATCTAAATTAAAACATCAGTGAGACACCACTACACACCTGTTAGAATGACTGAAATCCAGAACCCTGTTAACAACCAATGCTGGTGAGAACACAGAGCAGAGAAACTCCCATTCACTCTGCTGGTGGGAATGCAAAGTGACACAGCCACTCTGAAGACAGTGTGGCAACTTCTTACAAAACTAAACACACTCCTACCATACAATCCAGCAACTGTGCTCCTTGGTATTTACCCAAGAATTGAAAACGTATGTCCACATAAAAACCTGCGCACAGATGTTTACAACAGCTTTATTCACAATTGCCAAAACTTGGAAGCAACCAAGATATCCTTCGGTAGGTAAATGGATAAATAAAATGTGATATAGTCAGACAATGGAATATTATTTGATGCTAAAAAGAAATGAGCTATCAAGCCTCAACAAGACAAGAAAGAAACTTACATGCATATTGCTAAGTAAAAGAAGCCAATCTGAAAAGATTACATACTGTGTGATTCCAACTATATGACACTATGAAGACAGTAAAAAGATCAGTGGTTGCCAAGGATTAGGGGAGAGAGGGATGAACAGACTGATGCACGGACTTCTAGGGCATTGAAACTACTCAGCATGATACTACGATGTTGGATACATGTCATTTTGACTTTGTCCAAACCCATAGGATGTACACCAAGAATAAATCCTAATGTAAACTATGGACCTTGAGTGATAATTATGTGTCAATGTAGCTTCAACAAATATATCACTCTCCTGGAATATGTTGACAGTGGGAGACAGTGTGGGGCAGGGGCTACATGAGAAATCTCTGCACAGCTCAATTTTGCTGTGAACCTAAAACTGATCTAAAAAATAAAGTCTATGTTGAAAAAAACAACAACAATACCAGCTTATGAATTAATCAAAACCAAAAACATCCAACAGGCAAACATTTATAACTATATGAGAACAAAGTTCTCAAAGTTATTTGCCGTTTCTGACCTCATCCAAGGATGTCAAACACTGGGAATGTAAACTAGCTGTGGATTGAAGTTGGAAAGGAGAAGTCACTGGATTGAGAATGACAAACAAGCAAAACAACAGCAAAAATATAATCTGTCCCCAGGCACAGCGGCCAAAATCCGACAGGAAAGGATTAAGTTTTACAGTTGACTTACCTGCCCAGAAATTCAGCCCATGGCTGAACAGAAAGAAGAAACCAGGCTATTTATTTCTAAATATTTTTTTAAAGACCAGATTTTCATCCTATAAAGTATGGCAAGAAAAGATAACAAGTTGATTTTCCACTCTGGTAGCTGACTTTGGAAGGAGAGAAACGTTTATTTTTATCAGTTTCTCATTCGCTCATGATGGTGGTTTTGAAGCTGATGGCAGGAGTATATAGACACCCAGTCATGAGGCATAGCATGTCCTGAGCTGCCAACCAACACCATGTGAAAATTACAATTATTCCATTCTACAGAATTGATATCACACCTTGTCTCTGGAGAGCTCTAGGCAGTATTCAAATTGCATTTAAACACCAAATTAAAATTTTAACTATAAAAAATAAGGGGATAAACAAGAGCGAATCATATTATAATATTATATTAGTAAAAATATGGCTAGGAGAAGGAAGTGGATTTTCCATATTGCCATTATGCTAAATATGCCGTGATTTCCATTAGAACCACAGGAAGCACACGGCCCATTTAGCATCAGTCTTCATCAGTGTCCTGGTCTCTCACTAGCATTTATTAAGGAACCGTGGATACCAGCTACTCTCCAAGTCCAGTCACTAGAGAGCAAATTCCTGTACAAGTTTTCCCAACAGTGACTAATGCAGACCTACAATTTCTCATTTTCCAAAAGACATTTTTAAAGGAGAATAGAAAAAGGCAACTAGCCAAGTTGAGAATAGGCCTGCCATTGACTTGCTTCTCTGCTTTTCATCCAGATGTTCTGGCTCATGAGGCCAAAGCCTCCTTGGACCGTTGTGCTGAACAGGGGGTTCCTTTTCCCTCTCAAGCCTCTCTCTTCTCCTCTCATTCCTCCAGGACCTCTCTCCCTCCCCATATGCAAAGGCCATAGAACTGTTTCAAGCTACTGAGGCTTTTTAAGCAGGACTGTATTGGAAAAGACTGAAGGACACATTTAAAGGAGAATTTGGTCTCAGGACTGATTTATGTAAAATAATAAATGGTGCCACTTGGCTGTTTATAGAGTTAGAGATAAAATTAGATTCTAGACAGTCCTTCCTTGTGCACATGGGGTAACTCTGATGGATTACTGCCTTCATGTGACTTAGGATAACAACCGCTCATGGAAATTTACAAGGGGCTCCTTGAGAACACATTTTACAGCCACATCCAATAATTCAGAAGGATATTTCAGGCTCCCAAAATGACTCAAATTTAATTTGGGAATAATACTTGGAAATAGAAAGTTGATGAAAAGTACCAACTAGTTTAACAATTGTGAAAAGTTACTTCACTCTCCACAGCTAAGCAGAAATCCTTTCTACCCCATTCCTCCCCAGTCTCACCTCCATGGGCACACTTTCAACCTGGCTGTCCTCAAAAAAAAAAAAAAAAAGAGAGAGAGAGAGAGAGAAAAGGAGAGCAGACCGTAGCCGAGGAATGTAGAGAGATGATCATTTCATCAGCTGGTCAAGAAGGAAGGAGTTAGAATTTTAGAGAGCTATTGCCCTTGACCTTGGGAGTTTTACTTTCTTCTAAGAGGTTGGAAATCAGACTGGCCCAGAGTGTTACTATCTAATCAGGCTTTAAAGTCTTCTTGACCCAGAGGAAAGCTGCCCTCTGGCATTAATGAGTTGTGTTGAATCCTTTAATTCACATAACAAGTATTTATTGGACGACTACCACAGGCTTGGCGCTCTGCTAGTGCTAGAGATACGAATGGGGTAATGAGCAGATCATGCTCAAAATCAGTCTATAAAGCAGGGTGCAAAGCGCTCTTATGAGGGAAAAGTAGAGGCGACGAAGATACTCTTCCAAAGTAAGAGGAGGCTAAATTGAGACCTGAAGGAAGAGTAAGCTAGCCAGGCAAAACTTGGGCAGCAGAGAGAGGGTGGGAAATACAGAGGTGGTATTGGGGAGGGCTGGGTTGATGAATTGCAGGTAAAAAAATCAAGAAGACTTAGAAGACTGGACTGTAAAGAGGGAGAAGGTGAGGGGTGGGTAACGAGACTGAAGAATCAAGGAATAGCCGGACGACGAAAGGCCCCTCAGGCAGTCACCTGTAGGAGCCTGGACTTTATGGCAACATGGCCACGCGACAGCATCAAACACACGCTTCAGGAAGAACACCCCCTGGAGGGCGGGTCAGACTGGGAACAGGAAGACCAGTGAAGGAGTTCCCGCCAGTCCTCCAGGTGACTTACGACGGCCGCCCAGGCTATAAGAGGGGACAGACCACTTCAAAAGGTCCCGATAGAGTTAAAAGGCACACCTTGGTGACTGGACTGGAGACTGGCGGAGTAGAGGCCGTGACGACAGGGGTTTGGCCGCGGCGGTGGAGGGTTTGGTGAGGCCAGTGCACAGGAGGCGGAGGCTTGGAGACCGGTCGCGAGCTCAGTCTTGGGGTTTCAGGTATTTCCCGAGCAGAGCAAGGTGGAGATGCTTCAGGAAGAGTCTGCAGCAAGTGATGCGAGTCCCCGCCCTTCCTCTAGCCGTCAGCCCTGGGAGAAGAGGACAAGATGTTAGACAAGCAGGTAGTTTTGAAGAGTTTAAGGCAACCATACACCCCCCAGAAACTTTGCAAGTACCCGGCAAACAGAAAGACTGCCGGAAAAACGTGCTTCGAGGACGAGAAGGAGCAGGAGGAGCAGCAAGAGCAGCACCAGCAGCTGCGCAGGCGCAGTGAGAGTGAAGGGGCGTGGCCTCTCTGCGAGGGGCGGGACTTCCGGTAGCCGTCTTCCCACGTGAAGAAAGCAGGCAGCATGGCGGGCAGCATGGTGGCCAGCTAATACTTACTATTTGATGCCGAGTGGTGTGTGGGCCCTGTCTGCTCGCCCAGAATTTGAAGCAATTATATTGAAAATAGAAGAGTCTTCCACAGCCTTCTAAGTCTGCGGCCTCACTGTCTGGTTGAGGGAGGCAGTGTCCGAATGTTGGCAATTGTGCAGGTAGGTCCCTGGGGTCTCTTACCCCAAAGCTACTTCCAGCTTTTCTCCCCGTCTGCAGGCTGCTCCGTCCTTCAGGCTTAATGTTGCTTCCCAGTGGGAGCTCCAGGCTCCATGCTTTCTTTCCAGTGTCTAGGCCAACACTGAACAATAGAAATTCAGTGCAAGCCATGTTTGTAATTTTAAATTACAACAGTAAACACATTTTTAAAGGTAAGCATTAAAATGTGAAATTAATTTTAATGTAGTGTTTTATTTCTCTCACTATATCCAAAATATTTTTAAATTACCAGGATATTCTACATTCTTTGTGTGTGTGTTAAATTCTCAAAATCCAATGTGTATTTTACACTTAAAACACACCTCAGTTTGAACTAACCACATTTCCAGTGCTCAGTAGCCTCACATGAGCAACACAGCTCTCTCTAGGGTATAGGCCCAGACCTTCGCCCCCAGTCCAGATAGCTCATGACAACAGTAATAGCAAACATATATTCCACACTGACTGTGTTAGGTAGATAGCGAGGGATTCTGTGTCTCCTAGGGAGGAAAGTGAGTGCCCTTGCAGTTTACCCTCCCCCTCCAAATGGGCTTTCGAGGAGGCTTATGGGAGATCCACATGGGCAGTAAGACTCAGGTCATATAACTCCCAATTGTCCAATCAAAGTGGTTCCATGATGACCTCTGAGCCACAAGAGAGGTCCCAATCTAGACACTATAAAACCAGACCCAGACCATGGCTGAAATCTTTTTTTCTCTTTTTTGCTGTGACCGTGAGTCCAGCCGTCATCTGTGGTGTATGTATCTTGCTCTGTAAACCTCTGCCTTGCTCTTGCTCTATAATCCTATCTTTCCTCAACAAACCTCATTTTCATGCTCTCCTTACTTTGGTGTGTCTGGTCATTCTTCAGCCATGAGCACACCAAGAACTGACATTTCAGACTATGACCCAACAACTGTATACCAGGAGCCATGATCAGGACTCTACATACAGTGTAACATGGTGACACATGCACAGATTCTTAGGCTGCAGTCCTGGCTCCACCACTTACTAAATTAGTCCAGTTACTTAACCTCTTTCTGTGCTTCAACCTCTGGCTGTAAAAGGACAATGAAAATAAAATCCACTACTAGGATTGTTGAGAGAATTAAATTGATAATTATATGTAAAGTGCCTAGAACAGAGCCTGCCTTAGTGAGTGCTATATAAATTTCTGTTGTTCCTCTTATCCCAGACCACACAGCTTCTTAAGAGGTCAATGTGACAAGGGTTGAAACTATCCATCACATTTCCAATTAGAAGTTTATGGTGATGCTACCTAGGACAGTTTGATATGAATGATAATGAGAGTCAAAACCAGTCTGCTGGGGGGCTGTGGGAGTAAGCAGTGAGGACAGGAAGATCTCCAATTTCAGTTAAAATCCATAACTTCTTTAAAACCCAGATCAGAAGCACCCTCTGTGTGCTTGCTTTACGCAATCATAAATCAAACATCTGTAACCTGCCCTAGCATCCCGACACAGTAGTGTTCAATAGCAGTTAGGTGAATGTGACCACAGAAGTCAGGAGCAGGGCCAAGTGCGGTGGCCCACGCCCTGAATCCTAGCACTCTGGGAGGCTGAGGCGGGCGGATTGCTCGAGTCAGAGTTCGAAACCAGCCTGAACAAGAGCGAGACCCCATCTCTACTATAAATAGAAAGAAATTAATGGCCAACTAATATATATATATAGAAAAAATTAGCTGGGCATGGTGGCGCATGCCTGTAGTCCCAGCTACTCGGGAGGCTGAGGCAGCAGGATTGCTTGAGCACAGGAGTTTGAGGTTGCCGTGAGCTAGGCTGATGCCACGGCACTCACTCTAGCCTGGGCAACAAAGTGAGACTCTGTCTCAATTAAAAAAAAAAAAAAAAAAAATAGGAGCAGGACCAAGGGTACCAAGAAATTGCAGAGAAGAAGATTGCAAGCAAAGGGGCCTTGGGGCATGTCCACAAGTAGACAAAGAGAAGAGGCAGTTCGAATGGTGGAGGAGGAATGAACGAGAAAGAGGAACTCGAGGATGGATAAATAATAAAGGATTGCTCCTGCTGGTAAGACCTGGCTATCTGTTGCCTGTGCCTTTTATTCACAGAGCATCAAAGAAAAGGTTTAATGATCTTAGAAATAATAACTTTCTTATTAACTTTATTAGAAATAATTTTAAACTTATACAAGTTGAAAGAATGTTACAAAGAGTTCCTAATACGCTTTACCCGCATTCATCAATTGCTAGCGTTTTTCCACATTCACTTTATCATAAATTCTCTCTGAACCATTTGAGATTAAATTACATACATCATGTGTCTTTATCCCTAAATACCTCTGTGTGCATTTCCTAAGAAACAGGACAGTATCTAATATAATAACAAAACAGTGATCAAATTCAGGAAATTTTACATTGATATAAAACTCTTATCTACAGTTAAACTAGTCGGGGGGAGGAATAAAAGAATAGGAGGAATGGAAGGGCAGATGCATAATGCATGGAGTGTCGTTCTGTATTCTGACTTCACCAACTGACTCAACAATGTCTGCTCTAGCAATTTTTTTCTGGCCCGGTATCCAATTCGATTTTATATCTTACATTTATTTAGTTGTCCAGAAATAACTCCCTTTTCCTTTATTAACGTGAACATTTTGGACTTCAGCAGTAACTAAATACTTGCCCACTTCAGAGATACTAGGAATGTAATTTAAATCAAGGTAGCCTCAGAGGTAGCAGGGATATTAAGAGGAAGTGAGAAGAAAGAGCCCACAAAAGGTATAACTGAGGATATAATGTTTGTAAACCATTTTGCGTGCAAAGGGGGATGAAACTTGGGTCCTTGGAAGCGTGCCCTGAGTGACCCCTCTGTTTAGACATCACAGAGGCATTATGGAAACAAGGCCAAATAAAACTGGTTCAGCCCCTGAAGAGATGCCAGTCTAGTGAAGATGACAAATATGCAAACAGATCATTTTGGTACGACGTGGTAAATGACATGCACACCAAGACCCACCTGCCTGTGGAATCAGCACGCTGCCAACTCGTTTTATTCGGTACACTCAGAAAGACTAGAAGCACTTGGCTTGAACCTCAGATGTCATTTCTATTTACTGTTTTGCCAACACAGGTCACTAAGTTCTCATTGTAGGATTTGGCAAGGATTCTCCCTATTATCTACCATTCAACCTACCACAAATAAAGGGGTCAAATAATGACTGAAGTGTTAAAAATGCCGAGGGAGGAATGCATAAGGCCAGGAGAGGTGAAAAAAAGTTTATTTTAACGTCTGCATACAGACAAGCTGAGGCCAAGATGGCATCAACCCCGTAATGATGGGCATATTATAGTTGAGTTTAAGTGGACCCTCCAATAGGTAGGGCCAGTGTAAAGGGAAGGTTCCCATGGAACCTCCCACCAGCCTCTAGGTTCAGCCTAAGGTGAAATCCCCTCACCAGGATAGGAATGGCACAAGAACATCTCTAGGACAATTTCAGCAAGAAATGGAATAGCTCCACAGAAGAACATGGAACTCTAGAGTTGACAGTAGATGTCTAAAGCATGGTCATACTAGTGTGCAAATTTCAGTTTCTTTTTTTAAAATAATTTCCTTCGTCTCTTGAGAAACCAGAAAATCATTACACCTGTTTTAGTTTTAGGAAAGAACACCAATAAAGAAATATTTCAGGGGGGCGGGTATATACATACCTAATGAGTGAGATGTGCACCATCTGGGGGATGGTCATGATGGAGACTCAGACTTTTGGGGGGAGGGGGGGAAATGGGCATTTATTGAAACCTTAAAATCTGTACCCCCATAATATGCCGAAATAAAAAAAAAAAAAAGAAATATTTCAGCCTATATCCTGTATCCTTTTTATATTGCGTGTGGAATCACTTAGATGGAATGTATTTGCCTCTGTGCTCCTACTGGAGTGAGTCTTCTTGCAGAATCATCAAAAGACAGGAGCTGAGTTGCAATGCGTCCTGCCAGCTTTAAGTCTACACAACTGAAACAAATGTGTCCCAGGAAAGAGCAAATTTTAAATATAAGAAGTTGAACAGCGTTAGTACAAATAATACAGTGGCGCATCATTTACCTAGTGTTGTTTGTTAGGTGTCCCTAGTTAATTTTTTAGAAAACTGAAATTTATAGCATATTAACAAAACTTAGCAAGTAATTAGCACTGGGAGAGAATTAACTTCAGAAGAGGACAGGAGAAACTGTCTGTGGTGGTGGAAATGTTACATCTTAATCGCTGGTGGCTTCACAACTACACTAACATTTGCCAAAAGTTGTGACACTGAATACTTTGAAAGGGTAAATTTTATTGTATGTAAATTATACCTCAATAAATCTGACTTTTAAAAAAGAGAAAAGTAATTAATACATTATAAAGAAAGTGAAAAGACAATCCACAGGAAAAGGGAAAATATTTGCAAATCATATATCTGATAATGATCTAGTATCCAGAATATAAAAAGAACTCTTACAACTCAACAATAAAAAGACAAACAATTTAAAAATGGGCAAGAATTGCTGGTTCCTCAATAAGTTAAACATAGAATTATCATATGACCCAGCAATTCCACTCCTAGGTATACAGCAAAAATAATTGGAAAGAGGTGTGCAAACAAATACTCATACACGAATATCCATATCAGCACCATTCACAACAACCAAAAGGTGGCAACAGCCCAAATGTCCATCAGCTAGTAAGTGGATAAACAAATTGTGGTGTATACATACAATGGAATAGTATTCGGCCATAAGAAAGAGTAAAATACTGACATATGCTGTAACATGAATGAACCGTGAAAACATTACGCTAAATGAAATAAACCAGGCACAAAAGGTTATATATCTTATGATTGTATTTATATGAAATATCCACAATAGATAAATCCATACAGATAGAATACAGATTGGTGGTTTCCAGCCTGGAAGGAAGGACGATTGGGGAGTGATTGTTTAATGGGCAC